CCAACAGACAAACTATCAATTGCACGTGGAATTGCTAATGCATTGAATTATTGCCATGGAAAGGGTATTTTACATTATGATATTAGAACGTAAGTTTATAAGTATTATATAACTGATAACGTAATATTAATCTATTATTAATTTATTAATATATTATGAATTCAAATCTTTCAAATTTATAATTAGTTCCAATATATTGCTAAACGAACACTTACAACCTAAACTGTACAATTTCCAAATTACTGAAAAATCTACACCACCAATATTTAGTACTTTAAGGTAATTTACTTTCATTCAGGCATGAACATACTGTCCTATTCTTTTTAACCATTTTTTTTTATTTAGATGGAATTCACCGGAGGTAATTAACGGTGAAGAGTATAACAAAGCCAGTGAAGTATACAGGTAATTTTCCAGAATTGTAATAAATAGATGTAATTAATCTATATTTCACATACTAATGATATTTAATAATTATATCTATATCAAATATCTATATTAAAAGCTTCGCTCTAGTCATGTGGGCGATTGAATATCAACAAATGCCCTTTATTAACTTAACTTCAGAGGAAGAAGTCAGACGCCTAATACTTAATAAAACCCGTCCGGAACTCAAATCAATGGACGGCATACCAGTCGGATACCAAGAAATTATTAAAAAATCATGGTCTCATGATCCATTAACACGTCTTAATATGAAGGAAATTTTAGAACGTTTAAACCGATTAGACCTCGAAAATTTTACTGGGTTGGATTCAGATGATTATTTTGATTTTAATATAGCAAATATCGAAATACCAAACGCAGCAAAATCAAAATATAAGGAGGAATTTGAAATGTATCAAAAATATAGTCTTTCAATCCCTAAAGAAATAGAACAAGGCATTGAATTCCATAAAAATAAGAATTATGAATCTGCATGGGAAAAATTTTATCGTTTTCATCAACTTAATCCTGAAGATCCGCACACAAACTTTTGGGTTGGATTTTATTACTTCAAAGGACATCATATTGAAAAAAACGTTCGAAGCGGCATGAATTACCTTAAAAAAGCATCAGATTTACAACATCCAGATGCACAATATTGGTACGCGTCAACTTTGTTAAATAGTTCAGATGAGTTTGAGAAAGATAGGTACGCAGCCGCAATGAAATATTTAAGAATATCAGCAATGATGAATTCTAAAGCATTGAGAATGTTGGGAAGAATTGTACAGACCGGAAATTTCGGTCAAAATGCAAATTATCTCGTAGGACAAGCAATGATTGATAGAGCTCATAGAAAAATTATTACATTATAGTAACCTTTCTTTATAGTTATAATGAACTTTAAATTTCAGTACTTTTAAATTTCGACTCGCTATAGTGAATATACATTGGGATACCATATTATTGTGGACACTTTTTAAAACTTTATATTAACTTAAATAAACATAATATTAAGCTAAAAATTATATAATAGATTCATTAAATCTATAGTTTTTAAATAA